AGTGACCTGTTTGCACAGTTCAGTAATTGGTTTTTAGACTTCATTTTGCATTAAAATAAAATATTGATGTGTTTAATTATAACTTAAAAAAGTTTAGCGTCTAATTCACTTTTCAGGTAAACTTGGAGGACTACTCACATGGACAACTCGGTTGGTTATATGGGTGAAGCTTGGGAATAATGACCTGATATCGAGTCGCACTAATTCTTATGTGTAATTAATAAAATTCTAATTTCTGTATTCAGCTGAGTTACCATAATTTACATTATATCAAATATTTTGTCGAGTCGGAGTGTGGGGCCCTCGGGTTGGGGATGCAACCAAAGTAAAGCCCGGAGCCCGGAGGTCCTTCCGCACTAGCCAGTAGCCAAGTCCAAACAGAAGTACAAAACAGTATCACCAATCATCATCGTAGTGTTGTATTCTTTTTTTATGTCTACGAGGTACTAAATAAAACACACAGAGGCAGACAACTGCGAGAAGAAGCCGAAACGAAGGAATACCAACGAAGATGGTGAGCAAAACGGAGGAGGAGCAAGTGAACAGATTGGAGAGCCAAGTGGACAACGGAGGCGGCGGCGTCTGGGAGTACCTCTCTCTCGTCCGAAAGCTTAGGCTCCGCCGATCCGATAAGGTCTTGAAGCATGGCCTCTCTCTCCTCAATGATCGCAAATCTCGATCTGCTCTTGGCAGTGAAGGTATTCATCCCGCGTCTTCTTCTTTTGTTGGAAACCAAAATTCATCTTCTCGATTCCTGCATATTCGGTGAACTCTAGTGTCGAACAGTTAATCACAATTCCGGCATATTTTGGGACGCGGGGCGTTTCCGATCACAGATTGATTGCTGGATTCTTTGAGTTGTTACTGATATTCTTTATTACTATTTCAAGCTGGTGGAAATTCACTTTTTAGCAATCTCTGGATAACATCAGAAAATCAAAAAATTAAATTTTGACTCCCTGCACGATGCAAGAATGGTTCTTATCTTTTTAAATCTCCATTACTGATTAATTATAAGCAATATTTAATATTTTATTTTTTTGGGTATGCTTGAGTAGATTCCCAAATCAAAGGATGCCATTTTGCAGTTTTAGTAGGCTTGACAAAATTTAAAGAGAAAGTGACCGTCTTTAGCTATTTGGTGTCTACAAAGGAAATACAGAGAAAGTCAATTGAACAGTGAAAATTAAGTTTAAATACAACTAGCTTTTGGCCAAAAACCCTCAAATGGAAGTATGGGACACAACAAATTGAATAAATAATCAAGCAGCAATACTTGCTTAAGCAATTCCTGTTGTATAAGTTCATATATGGTTTCCTACTGTTATACAACAGTATGTAGGTCGTATTTGTAGCACTTTGTTCAGTTGCAAATAGGAATGTCCTTATTATTGTGATGTTGGTGTTTTCTTTGATCGTTAGTTACTTCACTTCCTAAAAGCAGCCTCTGTTATCTGTGCTTTGTGGTTTTACTGGTTGACACTTCAGATTGATTTGTTTTGCCCTATATTTCAAATGATGCAGAATGGACCTTACATGAGCAGGTGGCTGTTGCAGCTATGGACTGCCAATGTCTTGATGTGGCAAAGGTTGGATCTTTTTCGTTTTCTAATACTTGTATGCAGTGCAAACAATTGGATTCTGCGTTATACTCATGAACATGGTCATGCTTCACTAGTATGTTGGAAAGATCATACGTTTTCGTCTTTCTGTATAATGTAGATAATGGTAAAAAAAATATATATATTTTATCAAGAGACTTGTTCATGCAATCTAATTAGTTCACTAATCAAAGTAATTCAAAAATCCCCGTGGTAAAAGAAAAAAAAATATTAGTTCTGCTAGATTTTTCAGATTAGATATGAAAACAATCTACTTCAGTACTTTTGCATGAGAATCCAACATTTGCTCTGCAAACTTGAAGTTTGTGGTTTTGATTGCTATAGTTAGTTTATGGGTTTATATTTATTGAACTTTAATGCAGCTTGTTTATGGGAAATTTGCAGGAGAGCATTAAGGTTTTGCACAAAAAGTTTCCAGGAAGCAAACGAGTTGGTAAGTAGTAGATAAATGTTTGAATGTGCATATGTTAAAAATTAGCCTTCAGTTTTTTCCAATTTCTTAGTATGATTTATGGCCATCTCTTGTATGCACCCTGGTCATAGAATCTACACAGACGGACTATGATGATGATGGTTCATGACCATGAGAAAAGATATTGATTTAAAATAGTACATCAAATCAAATTATTTAAAGATAGTTCGAGGAAAGGGGTATACAAATAATAATGAACTTGATGTTTATAATTTAGAAAAGGGTGATATTGCAAATCTAAACTAATTTTGTATTGTATCCTTTCCCCTTTACCGAGGGCTTACTGTTTTTCTGTTGTTGTATTCTTCAGGCAGGCTAGAAGCAATGTTGCTTGAGGCCAGGGGATTATGGGCAGAGGCCGAAAAGGCTTACTTGAGCCTGCTGGAGGAAAATCCATTTGATCAGGTAGAAACTGCGCAATATGTTTTATTAAATTCTGTAAAGTTCCTTCTGGACAGGATAGTGTCTTCTACGGGACAAGAAAAAAGGGCCCGTTTGAGTTGATTTTCTTTTGAATTGTTTCTATTAAGTGGAATAGCGGGTGCTAAGTGAGAACTCTGAAGTTGTTTTCCCTGACATATCATCTGTTTATGGCTAACATATTTGAGCGAAAGTTCATATTTACACCGCAAATCTTCTCCCTCTTACATTTTATTCTATCATACAGGTTGTACATAAACGGAGGGTAGCCATGGCAAAGGCACAAGGCAATATGTCAGGGGCAATTGAATTGCTCAACAAGTATCTTGAAATGTGAGGAAGATCTCAAAAGAATTGAACATTAATTGTTATACAAATAGCTCATTCTTACCCTTCTTTTCATTTTCTTTTTTTGGCTAGATTCATGGCAGATCATGATGCTTGGAGAGAACTTGCTGAAATATACGTCTCCCTGCTAATGTGAGAGCATTTGAAATTATATCTTACCCTCTCATTCTCACATTTTGTTCTTTTTCTGAAGGCAAAGCATTCTACCACAATACCCTTCTTGCCTGGTGGCTAAATGCCTTAATAATCGTTTATATATATATATATATATATATATATAGGCCATTGTTCAAGTGAGTTCACCCCTTCCCATGAGTTTGTGTGGAAAGATCTGGTCCATTAAAAGCTAGAGATCAATGGTAAGATCTGGTCCATTATCAACTGTGCAATTGTGCTAATGTGCAACTGCAGTTGCACAGTTGATAATGAGCCAGATCTGACCATTGATCTCTAGTTTTTAATGGACCAGATCTGTCCACACGGACTCGGGAAGGGGTGGACTCATTTGATCATGAATATATATATATATATATATATATATATATATATATATATATATATATATATATATATATATATATTGTTATTATTATTATTATTATTATTATTTGTGTTTTTTAGGTATAAGCAAGCGGCTTTCTGCTATGAGGAGCTCATATTATCTCAACCAACTGTTCCTCTTTACCACTTGGCCTATGCTGATGTATGTGACTTGTCAATGTTGCATATTTTTATAATTCATTTGTGTAAAATTCATAAGTGCATATGCATATACAACTGTGCGTTTGGGCTTTGGAATCTTCTCGAACCTATTTGCAATTTTGCACATTCAAATGACTTACAGTGTGGGATGAATCCTTCTACTCTGTATATCCCATATCTTTTCAATAGTGGTAATTAGTTAAAATTGTTAATCTTGTTTTTCCCATAATACTAATGGTTGATTTATAATTGGGTTTCAGGATATCAGTCAACATTGAAGCCCGTGACTGTTTTTCTATATATATTTGCCATTTTTACCCATATTGCCTTTTATGTCAAAAGCCTGTGCTTGTTTTCTTCACATTTTGACCGCGTAATATGTGTATTGATTAATCATTTTTACCTTCTAGAACCATTGAACTGCCTTGGCTTTAAAGCACTTTGTGATAACATGCCTCGTTAACCGAACCAAACACATAAAATGGGACGGAGGAGTATTATTAATCTTATTGCATGTTTTTAATTTTTAATGGTAACCATGAAACCGAAGTACTGAACTGTCTTCTTCACCTTAACGTGCATCAGGTGCTCTATACATTAGGTGGACTTGACAATCTTCAGACGGCCAAGAAATATTACACATCTACCATAGATTTAACTGGTGGCAAGAATACCAGAGCCCTTTTTGGTATATGCTTGGTGAGTCTTGTCTCTTTCTGTGCTTGTTTCAACGAACATTCTTTCTATTGTTTGATTCGATGATAGTAGTTTGGAAGTGCTTGTTAACTATATGCCAACTTGAGATACGTTTTTGATGGGTTGTTCCTGGGGTTCTTTTAGTTCTACCATCTTCATGGTCTATCCATTGAAATTCAAAAAAGAAAATGTGTGGAAATGAAGAAAGTTTGATCAATTTTACTCGGCGTTTATATTTTCTACTGGACAGCTGACCAACGAGTTATTCTATTACAGTGTACGTCTGCCATTGGGCAGCTGACTAAAGGACGGAACAAGGAGGATAAAGAGAAATCAGAGCTGAACTCTCTGTCCATTAAGGCCCTGGAGAAGGATTACAGTCAGAGAGCTTCTGACAAACTTCCTCTTCTTACTTCAACTTTAAGAAGCTTGAAACTTTGATCATATTATTGAAGGTTTTGATGATTTGATTTGAAGTCCCATCTGATGCAGTTTGTGTTTTCACCTGTTGCTTTAGTTACTACAAGCTAACCATGTGTTTCCCCTTATCGAATGAAGTTTGCAGTTTTCTTAGAGATTTCTTATTGTTATAAAAATGGGATTTGATACATTATTTATAGAATTTTGGAAAGCAAAATGAGAAAGGAAGAGTTTAGCAGCAGGACAGAATCTGAGTATTTGTCTTGATATTTCAGTGATGTGTTTTTTTGTTTATTTCTTCACTAATACAAAGCACAAGAGGTTGCAAACACAATCTTTATTCTGATAATACATTACTTTACATCTCTTCAATTGTTCCAAACTGGAAAATGGATCCAAGAAAAGCTCAAAACATTGAAAGATGGATAAGAAACTACTAGCAAGGCTAAAACGTGCTGCTGTACAAATGGTACAATACAAAGATTTCTAGAAGAAGTCCATGTGATGAACAAGAACTCCCTCATCATCCCAATCCACTTCCTTTGCATTTGCTTCTTTTCCAATTAACTTAAGAGGTGCTTCTAATGGAGGTGGGCTCTGCATTTTGACAAACAAAACTTCAAATAATACACAAACTATTGACAAAGAAAGCTTGTTTCAAATAGAGCATTTGATGTTCAGATTAAAGGTATGCATGGTAGGTACCATGCATCGGATCAGAGGCCATTTTATTCCGCAGAAGAAAGGGTGCTGTTTTATCTCATTGGCACCTCCATTCGATCCCAAACGGCTCCCAGGATCTCTATTTAGTAAGGCATGAATCAACTGCCTCCCCGCCAGGCTTACCTGCAATACCATCACATCAAACTCCTCATTACTAAAAGCCAGTGCAGTTGCAATAGAAACAAAATGCATTTTAAAAATGGTGAGGGAGAAGATAGCAAGCATATATGTATCAGCAATGTTTTACCGGAACGCTACTTGGGAATGTGAGGTCTTTGTTTAAGATGTTGGCAAATGTCTTCTGCCTATTCTTTCCTCTAAATGGCGTGCGCCCATAGAGCATCTCATAGATCAAAACGCCTGCAACTCAAAAACCAAGCAATCGTTAATATAAAACAGATCACCCGGTCCAGACTTCAGAGCATCATGAATGCTCGCGCTATGTAGTTACCTAAAGCCCACCAATCAATAGCACTGCTGTGGCCTGCACCTGTAATAATTTCCTGAAATTGAGTCTTTTGTAAGTATTCTATACATCATATGCATACAAGAATAAGCTGCAATGGCATTCATGTGTAAACTTAAACAATGAGTATTCATGTACCGGAGCAATGTATTCTTCAGTTCCCACAAATGAATTTGACTGTGTAGTTGGTTCTGCAACAAATGTCAGTGGTGGAGTACTCCTAGACCTTCTTTTGGGTGGAGGGTGTTTTATTACCTGGGAGACATTGTTAGCTCAGTAGGATAAAAGAAAGATCAATGAACTCTAATACATAATCTCCAAGTGGCAGAAGAAGAAGAAGAACAACAACAACAATCTATGTACTGAGAAAACAAATATTTACTGTGAATAGAAGCATGCATACTTGGAGTTTACAGGTTGTCTTGAAGGATAGATCAAAGTCGGTTAACACAACATGTCCATTTGCCTGGAGTAGAATGTTTTCTGGTTTCAGGTCCCGGTATACTATTCCTGTAATGTGAGACAAAGAAAAGCACAGAAGATCAATGATTATCGGGAGAAGGGTCAAATAGACTCTCCAACTTTACACGAAAGTGCAATTAGGCCCATGAACTTTCGAAATGTGCAATTAAACACTTCAACTTATTAAAATCGGTCAAATAAGTCCAATTTATCGGTAACCAACATATTACTGGTAAGCATGCCGTTGTTGACTGCCGTCAGCCGCCGTTCACAAAAAAAATTGACGACCAGTCGACCAGGTCGTCTTCTTTCGATCAACAAAGAAAGTGGTCGCCTTCTTTGATTGAAGGCAACTCTTCGGTCACCTTTTCTTCAAAGAAGGCGACTGAAGATCGGTCACCTATTGCCAATTTTCCTCTCGGAGCACCGTCGGAACCCTAACGACCTGCTATTACAGGTCCTAACCGGCTATATGGATCCAAATGCACTAAAATGACAAGTTGAAGTGTTTAATTGCACCTTTCAAAAGTTCAAGAACCTAAATGCACTTTCGTGTAAAGTTGGAGGGCCTATTTGACCCATTTTCCATGATTATTAGATCTAAGCTAATGCTAGGCATGCCAAGACTATCTGCATTCAACACTTTATGCTAACTCCCTTCATTTATACAGATGAACATAGAAAGTCACTTTGGCCTTAACAGATAAATAGAAGGTTGGACCCAGCCAGTGCAAAAAGGCTCATGCATAGTGCAGGATTTGGTTAGGAATATGTATGCAACCTTACCCCTGATTTCAGAGAGGTTGCTTCTAGTGCTTGAACTTGTTATTTAAAGGTCAACGAATGAGCACTTTTCCCCTACACCAGGTCCAACGTTAAAAGATCAAATGAAATATCCACAGAAATTATAATAAAGTTCATCATCAGGTCAGGCACCTACCTAAACAATGAAGATATTCCAAGGCAATTAAAATTTCTGCCGCATAGAACCTGAATAACAGTAGCCGTTAAACGCTTGGTTTTTACCAAGAAATAAATCAAATGTATACCAAGTGAGAGTACCTTGCAGATTCCTCTTTAAATATTTTCGAGGGCTGCTTGTCAAGCAGGGCAAATAACTCTCCTCCGGGAAAGAAGTCCGTTATTAAGCAAACATGTGTATATGTCTGGTGAAACACAAACATGTCAATATGCTTGGTTGGTCAGTGTAATATTTAAGACCTTCAAGATGTTCAGAGCGGGAACTTTGAGTTAAATGAGAACCTGAAAGGAGCAGTATAGCGTTGGAAGGAAAGGATGATCAAGGATTGCACTGATTTCTCTTTCAACGCATGCTCGATGAACCTGCAAAAGCATGCAATATTTTAATCTTTTGGTTATTGCAGAAGTGCATTTAGAAAGCCACTAAACGAATGAAAAACAGACAAAGGCGTACTATGTGCAAGTGTGAAGGTGTAAGGTGAGCATTCAAGAAATTAGCATTCTGTAGATGTCAAAAAATTAATAAAGAAGAACATGTTTTAGATGGAGAGGAATCAAGATAGATGCTTATAACCAAGAGCTTTTTCACACATGAAATGTACAATCTTAAATGTTCAGACCTTGTTACGATTGAGCAGTATGGATTTATCCATTGCCTTCATAGCATAGAGTTCACCTGTGCCTTTCAGCTCCACCAAATGAACACTGCAGCAAACACAGCATAGACATAATAAAAACTAGGATCCTTGAAGAAATGTTACATTGTAAGAACATAAAATGATAACAACAGAATCAGTCATACTGGAAATGATCATGAGCTTAAGTTATGAAAATGAATTGGAGAAAACTTAGATGTTGAATAAATTCATATACCTTCCAGTATCTCCATATCCCAAATGTCTCACAGGTTTGAAATGATAAAGTCCAACTTTTTCACCACTTGCAATGATCTATAATAATATTAAAAAGTAAATAAATAATCCCAGAATTTGAGGGAAATATTATTTAAAATCCCAACAATAGTAGACTATGCTAATCTGCTAGACTTGTTTTTAGATTTTATCTAGAAATTCTTAAAGATAGGTTAACCAACATAGTCTTATTTACTGTGGATTTCACAAGATTTGTACCTTTTGTATGGCTCTCCATGAAGCACTGCCCTTCTTATGAGGCCTGGGAAAGACAGGGAGAGAGTGTAAAGCCCACAAGTCTTCTGGTTTCTGAAAGTTCCCCAGTAGAGAATTTGCATCAGCCAAAATGAATTAGACATCATATATAATGTTTCTTTTGATCCAATTTACAGCTAAATGAATACCTTACCATGTTTGCATCAGGAAGTTCTCTAACAGCTTCATCAACGTTTTCCGCAGTAGCCTTGACCTGGAAAACAAAATGTGCATATATTTACTAGAACACTATGTTCTTGTGTGTCAAAGGATTGCAATCATATTTGAGAAACAACTTGGCAACCTTAAACAAAAAAAAAAAAAAAAAAAAAACAGAAAATACCTCATTGCCAAGCTTTAAAGTTCAGGAGTTATTATAAGAATCAGAGATTTATTTATTTATTTATTTATTTTAAAAGAGATGTACGTAACTAAGACACAGAGAAAGTAGCAGAATACATACCAACTTAGCACTTTCTTGCTCCGTTTTATCTGAGAGGCGGTTCCTTAATGGTTCTACATGCTGACTTCCATCTAATTGGACACCAATGAAGTATTGTAGCTCTCCCTAAAAAAGCAAGATCCGAAAAACAATATTATTGACTTACATATACACATATATAATACAACAAGAAACTGTTCACAAACTACCTTCTGGTCTCGCATAGGTTGCAGGTGAAACAAATTCCAGAACTTTTTACCTGAAAATGTTGTTCAGACAATATATTATTCTAAGGTTACCAAAAATGTGTAGTAGAAAATGGCAGGCTTTACATTTCAATTGAAATATAGTCAACTACACCGTAATAATTTTAGCCTACCACTCTTGGTATAATTAATTAACTGCACAGTAATTTCTCTTTGCTCTCTGATGGCATCTCTTATCTTTTGAACAGTTCCTTGATCTGTTTCAGGTCCTTGGAGGAATCTGTAGGATGACAACTCTTCATTAGACAAAATTACTACTAGGAAATAACTAAGGTCAAAGGCTGCTGAGCAATGAAATAACACACTTAGTTACCATATATAACTTCCAAGCTAAACACTAATGCAAGGTTTAGATTTATACCTGCAATTTCTTCCCAAGATTTCTTCACGTGTATACTCTGTGAGTTCAAGAAAGCTATCTGATGCAAATATCTGTGCACAAAAGATCCTAGTTCAGTTAGCAATGTTGATGAACATACAAGCTACAAATCTATAAGTTACACTAGCAGTGCACAAGAATTAGTATGAAACCATGTTCTCAGATGTAGTTAGCAATGTTGATGAACATAAAAGCTACAAATCTATAAGTTACACTAGCAGTGCACAAAAATTAGTATGAAACCATGTTCTCAGATGAACATTTGTTTTCTTCTAGTCTCCCATTTAAATCAAAATATCAGAAATAACAATCAGAACCACTGTAAATCAGTTTCAGTTCTTGATCTTACAATTGGGGTATCAGGGAGTCTGGGATCTGAAATAACAAAATTCTTTTCAATTCTCTCCAGGGTTGTTGCAAGGTCAATGCCCTGACGTATATCTCTTTCTCTTTCAGTATGCTCCCAGCTGTCAGTGCTTTCTATCTCTTTTGTCATCAAAATTTCAGGCTCAACGGTTTGTTGCTTTTCATGCTGCCCTGCACTAATGGAAGACCTTCCTCTGAGCCTGCAGAAACCAAAACCATTCAACGCTTAGAAAGTATATAATATCAAGCATGCTTATACAATCCGTTAGCATTAATATCCATCTTACAGTGCAGATAAAACAAAAGTTTCTGTCAAACGCAACCTGCAAAGCAGATGCAACTTTTTTTGTGAAGAATATAATAAATCTTATGGTCTCACCCTATCAGAGAAAGGCGTAGGGATCTTCTAGACTTTTTTTCACTGTCCTGTTGAGATGAATTACTCTTGGACTCCCATTGAGTGGTTTGCTGATCAAGTGTAGCCATGCTCTGAGTTTCAGCCTGCCTAGAAAGCATAAAGTCTTTAATCCTTTCTTCAGCATTCTTCTTAGTAGAGTCCTGACTCATAGATAAGCGGGATCTTGGATGCTTCATAGTTTGTACAACTTCAGTCATTGAATCTAAAGCCTTTTCCTTCTGGCGAGCTGACACATTGACAGAATATGAGATTTTTAAAATGTGGGAAGATAATTGCAAGAAGAAAAAGGTAAATATTCTGCACACCATCGTATTTGATTAATGACTTGGGTAATCCATTTGGTCGTAGTGCCTTGTCATTCACTCCTTCAGTGTATTTGCTGACCTCCACCTGCATTCTGCTAACAAAGTTTGAACTATCAAATTCATCCTGGAATAATATCTTGTAGAATAGACCACAAACTTCAAAGAATGGAATAAACTAAAGAACATGAAATAACCACGGTTGAATAACATAGAAAGCTCCAAAGTACCAAATCAACTCAAAAAATCTTGTAAATTGTAGGTATCAACCACATATATGTCGGGGGGTCAAACCACACTAAAAGATTGAATCCAATCAATTAGATAGTCTAACTCATGAGTCATGACCTTATAAACCCATATGTTCTCTCTTAACACATTCCAAACATGCATTAGTGATTATTAGGACGATAATAAGAGGTTGAATAGCAACTTTACCCAATGAATTTGATTGTATTTCCATTCTCATCTTTTATTGGAGTGATTGTTAGCATATTCCAAAAAGGAGTGCCATTCTTCTTGTAGTTCAAGAGCCTGCCACAGAAGCTTTTCCCAGTTCTTATAGCAGTACTTAGTTTTTCTATTTCATTCCGATCTGTGTCAGGACCCTGCAGAAATCGACTGCAAAAAAACAAGTAAGGAACATCTCACCTCCTTTTACAGCTTAATTTCATCCAAGAATTCCAAAATCTACAAATGATGATAGAACAGAAACTGAAGTCCTTCAAAACTAGTTGGGACAAAAGTATTCTAAACTATTTCAAATAGTAGTGATTGACCTCTGTTGACATTTTGATCTAGGACTAAGATAGCAAAACTACCCTAAAAGGCTGAATTCAATCAATTAGTTAATGTGAACTTATAAACTATATGTTCTCTCTTATATTTTCAATGAGGGACTATTAACAGAATCCTTACCAGTTCCTTCCAATGGTCTCATTTGAAGAATAACCAGTCATTGCAAAGAAGCCAGTGCTGGCGTACACAATAGGGCAATCAGGCTTAGTAGCATCGGAGACGACGAATGTCTGCTGCAACGTTGATAAAGCGTCCTTCAGTTCTTGAGAAACGCGAGGCATATCCGATCCGTGACTTGAAGAATCAGTTGATAACTTCTCCAGTGAGGTTTTCCTCCTGCTCTCTGCTTCTCCAACTGAATTTTTGGGGAACGCATAGAAGCGACCTTCTTCCACGTCGTCTTTCTTCATCACAGTCAATCCCCATTCCGCAGTCCTCTGTGCTATGGTGGCTTCTGTAGGGTCTCCATCCCCCCCATTAGCCTTCGCGGCGGTTCTAGAGTCGAAAGCCATCCACTTCCCAACTGGCTCCTTGTTGAGCGTTGAATTCCCAGATGGTCCTTGTCCGAGCACCTGCACATCGATATTCTGGATCCTGTTACTAACCGCCTCGCCGATTTGGCGCCTCAATTTGGGTTCAAACACTTGGATTGATCGTTTAGTAGCAGCACTTGATGACTCCATATATAAATAATATTATATTCACACACTCATATGTATCGCCGCGAAGAATTGGAAACACTTCAATTCAATTCCTGTGCTGCTACTGGACACATTAAATCAAGTGATCGAAGTAAACAGTACAGTTCCAAAATGAAACGAGTGTAGCTAAGAAAAGTCAGGAAATGAATGATTGAATGTTGAAATAAAGAAAAGAAGAAGGTCAGAGGTTTGGTGATGATCAATTCTGCACGTTAAACTAGTGGGAGCCATGCATAATTGCATAGTAATTTGGGCTGCAGTGAGTTACCTGAGTAGGTGTAGGAGCTGCTTTCAAGTCCATGAAGCTAGAGAGAGACAATAGAAAGTCCTAAGAGTGAAAAGCTTATTATTATGTTAAAAGTTATAATTGTTACTAGTTAAAAAGTTATAACTGGTAACACACAGTCTCAATTTCTAGTTACATGATGCTAGTCAGACGTATGGTTATATGGTGCTAAATTTGGTATTTTATTGACCTCCGTCCTCCCAGCATCTTCCAATTTAATGTTTATCACTACATTAAAAGTTAGAATCATTTAGATTGAACTTCTATTGTTCTTATCTAAAAACCCCATAACCTTTTTGAGTATGAGTAAACTCTGTTTTGTGATTCTAGTTTGCAAAGGATTATAAGTAAATTAACCTAGATTATATGACTGATTCCAACTAAGGATATAAAGATTTGAATTCGTGACCAAAATATGTACTAAACTTGACTTTTTAGTTTCTGTCCAATAATTTCTTAGTCATTTAGTGCTGGATTTACCTTTTCAATGGACTCGGCCTAAGAGAAAGGAAGATAAGATGGGGACATGATGTCCAAATAGTCAAATTAGACACCCATGTCGCTGAATTGTAGCCTCTACCTTGTTTCCAACTAGACGTGTCGCTGTATTGGGTCACTCATCATTCACCTGCCGCATTTATTCTTCTCCTTCTTATTCATTTTGTACCCAATAATCCAATTTAATCATCTGTACTGTTAAGAAAATTTAGACGAGGTCCATAGAGTTACAGAGTACTAACGGCATGTATGAATATGATATGATTGAGTTGGCGGAGGATAAATTTCTCCATCATCTTATTTATTTTTTTGTCCTTTCCAGAAAGGACATTATTGTGAATAAGACATCCGAAACAGAAATAGGGGGTGGGGTTTACGACCACCTTTAATTTCTTCCCATTATTTGCCGAAACAGAAATAGGGGGTGGGGTTTACGACCACCTTTCTTCCCATTATTTGTTGTCAAAAGTTGTAAAGTATACCTATAAGATTACAACACCTTTTCATTTGTTTGATTGAAAAGAAGGAATTAGAGAGAAATGAATTGTAATTAGGTGAAAAAAGAATAAAGTGAGAATAATGTAAGCATTTAAATTATATTGTTTGAAATGAAGTAATAAAATTATTAAGAATGATAAAGGAAGGAGTAGTATAAAGACTAAAATATCATTGTGTAATAATAATACTAATAATAATTAGGGTAATTTTGTTTTCCTTTTTCCCATTGAATTGCAATTCATATGGAGAGGGTATGAATTGCAATTCAACAAAATGAGGAGATTGTAATTTGGTGGAATTGCAATTCCTTTCAACCAAACACTGTAATTCAGCCAAACATTTTGTACTCAGATGGCATGTAGTGATTCTCTCATATGGGAAATCATGAAATTAAGCATCTGGAAGAGGTGTTGACTCTTTGTACTTCAATAGGTCGAGAAATCTAAGAGTTTCATCATTTTATCTAAAATGGTACACTCAGATACTAAAATGCTTGTGAGCATATTTGAAGTTTAACAACATTTTATAACGTCATTATATTTATCTAAAATTCACCACTTGCAATGATCTATAACAAGAAGAAAAATGCACATTATTGGCCCGCATGGGCAGCTCAACTGATCATAAAGGTGAAAGTTGGAAAGAATAACCAGGGATCGAGTCTCACCAGCCACTCCTTGTACGCAGTTGAGTTACCATGATTTACATCCTCCCAAATGTTCTGTCGAGTTGGAGTTCAACATTTTGGAAAGAAAAATGCACATTACCTTAATATGTAATTATGAAATGATTAGCATTAATGTTTAATTAATTAGGAGAATAATAAATTATCTATTTCATTTACTATATTTATGTTCGTTCCAATAATGCATTAGGTGAAGAAGTGATTATTAAGAAAGTACATAAATATTCTCAAAAGAAAAAAGAAAAAGAAAGTACATAAATGAGAGGGTTCAGGTGTGAAGTGAGAACAGATTCTCATGTTAAAGTGAGGACTAATTTAATTGTTATAAACGTAACCTGCACAACTAATGTTGAGAAATTTCTATGCATATTTAAAATTTTGGAAATTTCTATGCAAATGATAAAGTCACACAGATGTATCAGGTTGCCCAAATACTATTAACATTTTAATTTATGAAAAAAAATGTGTAATTGCTATTCAAAAGTGTGCTTTAGTTGAACCTCGTTTCGACTACTACTAACACTTTGGTTTAGGAGAAATTCCCTAGTTGCTATTTGAAAATGCACTCTGGGTGAAACTTCTATGGCTTTGTAACCATAGTTGTAAAGAGTAAGGACCACAAATGAAGTGAACTAACCTACTTCGTCAATAGTTGACTAGCCCAATAGACCATTCCAAAGGTGAGTCGAACTTGGAACCTTGTGATTATCAAATCAACTTGATTGAGGTCGCTCTGTTACTATTAACATTTGTACGGATAATACAATCTACAATACAAGCATGTTTGTATCGGGTACAATACGATATTATATTAGTTATTACAGAGTATATATTATATTAATATTTGTGAAAAGACAGAGAAAGAACACAACTATAAACAAAGGTAACCATGAATTGTCAACAATGAAAACTTTAGAAGTAAGATATAGGTTGAATTTTAGCACAAAAAGTGCATATAAAGCTCTGTACATACAGCACTCCTAAACTCTCTGCCGCCTCAGCTTAAGCCTTTCAAGAAAATGGATCTCCTGCCAGAATCCTACTGCTAATCCTTTCAAGTCCAACAAACAAAAGAATTGGTAAGACTATATACTTCTTTTCTCATGGATTCTGTGGAATAAAATGAAGAAAAAGAAAACTTGGTGAATAAAATGAGAATGTGGATTAGGATTATATTGGTCCGGTCAAACATGCCATCTTTCATGTAATCTGGGTTTTGGCTTAGCCGGGCTGATGCCACAACAAGCCTTGCAACAATGCCAAGCTCATGTGGGCTTGGAGGAGTGATGTTACTAGGTATATATGCCCTTTTTTGGTGATTCAGAAAACCCCCAAGCACAATCTGATGGTGGGCATTCGGTATGGCAAATTATGCTGTGAGCACATGGCCACAACATAATTTTTATACTGTAGATCCATAATTTTTATACTGTAGATTCATAAAATTTATATTTTAGATTTCAATTGTTGAGCTCTGTTTTCACAAATCAGAGAACTATATGTTCATAATTTGATAACTATGCAGTTTAGAAATTATGAATTTACAGTACAGAAATTATGAATCTACAGTACAGATATTATGAATTTGCAGTATTTAAATTATGAATCTACAATTTAGAAATTATGAATCTAAAGTAGAAATTATGAATCTACAGTATAGAAATTATGGATGTATAGTATAGAAATTATGGATATGGAACCGTGCCCACCTTGCAAGGTGGGCACGTGCTCACAGCATAACGTTCCATTTGGGTATGCTTTGTGTAATAGCCTATAAACTATACAAGGGAGTGTGACAAGATCAACCAAGAGAGTGTATATATGTCTTTTTGAGGAGTTATACCCAATATAATCCTTGACTATAGTGATTTTACTCAATTTAGTACTAAATGACTTTTTTTGCTCAATTTAGTCCTTGACTTTGATGGTTTTACACAATTTAGTCCTTTGTTAAAAATCTTATTAGTTGACTATTAGAAATAGGGCATTAATGGTAATTTCTCATCCTTCATTCCATTTGGGATGATTCCTTCTTCTTCCCCTTATTAAGATCCATGTAGAAATGTAAACTTTCGTACCCAAATCAACTTCAACCCCTTAAAGAAGGAAGGTTAGACAAATATTTATTTTTGCGTGGGTTGAAGATGTTTTGGGTACGAAGATTTGCATTTCCGTATGGGTTTTAATAAGGGGAAGAAGAATGAATAACCCCAAATGGGATGAAGGATGAGAAATTACTATTAGGACCATATTTCTGATCGTTAACTAACATAATTTTTAATTAAAGATTAAATTGGCGCACCTACACACAAACCACACTCCTTAAGCATACAAGCAAAGCACCTTAAGAACACAAACCACGTACCTAAAGTTTTAAAATGGCGCACCTTAAGTACACAAATCACACACCTTAAGCACACAATAACAAAACACCTTAAGAACACAAATCACGCACATTAAGCACACAAACAAAGCACCTGAACACAAACCACGCACCTAAAGTTTTAAAATGGCACACCTTAAGTACACAAACCACGCACCTTAAGCACACAAACAAAACACCTTAAGAACACAAACCACGCACCTAAAGTTTTAAAATGACGCACATTAAGTTTCAACAACTGACGCACCTTAAGCATATAAATCACGCACCTTAAAAATAAAAACAACGCACCTTAAGAATGAAAACTACGCACCTTAAGAAGGAAAACCATGCACCTTAAGAAGGAAAATCACGCACCTAAAAAAACATGTCTGTAATGTCTTGTCTCTCCCGGCCATACTGAGAGATGCAAGTCTCACTTGTGTCTCTCCTAACTGGCGACAGTTAGCCGATCAAGTGGATTTGCGTGTCTCGTAGTGTATACATACGTAGACTACAAGAAACGTATTTGACAAATGAGTTTTACCTATTTTTATCCAACTTTCAAATGCTTCCTATTTTTGTCATTTTTTTTTTTTGCCTATTTATGTCATTAACCCTCAGGATACATAAGCCAACGGATATGGTTCAATTCCCACAGTTTTTGAATACTCTCGGAATCTCGGCTTGTAATAAAATAAGATTTGCACCACACTTAAAATTTGCTTCTAGTAAAGTGGTAATAGTTTGATTAATCCTCTCACAAATATTTGAAGGTTTAATTTAAATTAAGTTTCTTATATGTAAAAATTTATAATTTAGTGTTGTGCCTGGAAGCTAAATTAGACTCAATTTATCTTTTAAAAAAAATCATAAAATGCAGAATATATATAAACTGTTATTATAAAATAATTCTACCAACTAACCACCCCTTTCTGGATGGAGTTTAATTAAGGGTCCGTTTGGAAAGCAGGAAAATGACTTCTGGAAAATGTTTTCTGGAAAATGAGTCATTTTCCGGAAAACATTTTCCTTTCCAGTGTTTGGTTGCATTATGGAAAACTGTTTTTCTGCGTTTGGTTCATTTTCTGAAAAATGAGTAGAATTGTATAACTAAACATTTTAATTATTTTATTTAGAATATTACAACATGTATAATAATATATAATAATATAATATTAATTTTAAATATAATAAAAAATAGCTAAGTTTTTCAAAAAAAAAAATTAATAATATATCAAAAATATTATGGTGGTGGTGTAGTGGTAGTGGTGTTATTCGTTATATAATAATAATAATAATAATAATAATTGGCGGCGGTGTGATGGCGGTGGTGTGGTGGTGGTGGCGGTGGTATGGTGGTGATGGCGGTGGTGGTGGTATGGTGGTAGTGGTGGCGGCGATGGTGGTTGTGCTGGTATGGTGGTGGTGGCGGTGGTAGCGGCGACGGTGGTTGCAGTGGTATGGTGGTGGTGGTGGCGGCGAAGGTGGTTGCGGTGGTATGGTGGCGGTGGCGGTGGCGGCGGCGGTGGTAGTGGTGGCGGCGACGGTGGTTGCGGTGGTGGCGGCGGCGGTGGTGTGAAGGTGGTGGTGTGGTGGTGGTGGTATGTGGTGGTGGTGGCGGTGGCGATGGTGGCGGTAGTGGTGGTGGTGGTGGTGGTAGTGGTTGCGGTGTTGGTGGTGGTGTGATGGTGGCGGGGGTATAGTGGTGGTGGCGGCGACAATAGTGGTGGTGATGGTGGTATGGTGTTGATGATGTTGGTGGTGGTGTGATGTTGGTGTAAAAGTTGGAAAATGACTTCCCCCCAAAAAAAGGGGAAGTTATTTTCCTCCAAAACAAGCCTATTTTCCAAAGTCAACGGAAAATGATTTCCGTTGACTTGATTTTCCAGGCACATCAAAACACTGAAAACTTGGAAAATGATTTCCAGAACTCATTTTCCAGGTTTCCAAACACACCCTAATTTAATTAACTTTTCTTTTGAATACTTTTGTCTTTTCTTTCCAACTACTCTGTCCATTTACACTCTCCTCATCAACCACCAAATGTGTACTAAAAATTAAACTTATTATAATATACAACCAGTCATCATCCAGCGAATCCATGGTTGGCGAACCACATCCAGTCAAACATGAAGGCGCCAGGTACAATACTTTAATCTTTCATTATTGTAGACCAACAATGGAGAAATTTCTATGTAAATTCGGAATTATTATATATACAAGTTGTATATATAATAATTCCGAATTTACATAGAAATTTTTTATTGGCCTAATTTTATTGGGTCTAACCCTATAATTTTCAGGATTAATTGGGTCAACCCATTGGTTTAGGGTTAAGTTGACATCCCTGAATAGTTGCAAACCCTCTGCTTGATCACCTTAACTAATAAGCCTTTCAAGAAAATCTCCGATCCCCGCCGGCCACTCTCCTGCTAAGAGATATGGAAGATTTGAGAGAAGCCGCACGATATTACTTGGAAAGAGGGTCCGAGGAGTATAAGCAGCGGGCACGCAGAGCTATGGGCTGCGGAGAATCCTTGGAGGAATTCTACGTACGAGAGACGAAGAGACGCATACGTAGGTGCGATGTTTGCGCGAAGCTTCTGGTTGGTTTCTACTTGTGTTGCACCAAATGTGAGTTATACAAGGGGTGTAACTACAACCTCTGCGTCAAGTGTTTCTATGGCAGAACATTCCAACACAATCATGACTCCTTTGCTGACAACCATAGTGTATTAATGATGCATAACGAGGGCCGTGGGGAACCCACCTGTGTTATTGAAAAGGTATTTTCATGTTCAACAATGAATTGACTAAAGATTAATATTATGTATACTTCTTCTTTGTTTAGTGTTTTTTTTAAGTGACTATATAAATTCACTGTTGTTCAAACTAGAAATCTTAAGATTATTAGTTCAAACTAGAAATCTTAAGATTATTAAGTCAATAACCCTAGTGTAAGTTTGGTTATCGACCGATCTGCCATCTTTGACGGTTTGACATGGTCAAACCGCAAAAAAAAAAAAAAAAAACTGTTTAGTTAGCAGCGATTTGCTCCAAACCGCTACTTTTGCAAACGCTACAAAGGCCTTATTTGGTTATTGACAGATCCGCCAAAATTTTGACAAATCCGCTGTTTTTAGCGTTTTGACATAGTCAAAACGCTGAAAACTATGTTTGGTAAATGGCGATTTGGAGCAGCGGATTTACTCCAAACCGCCAAAATCTGATAGCTGCGTTTGCCCAAAACACCTTTTTTTTTTTTTTTACTTTTTGTTTAATAATAATAATAATTTTAACAGAAGCCTCAGGCTTCTAAATAAAGAAGCCTGAGGCTTCTTTTTTCCTGCCCATCCGATGTGGGACATCGGATGGGCCGGAATGAATAAGGGGCGTTGAGCTCCCCTTTTAATGGGGAGCTCAACGCCATTTCCTTCGCATTTTGCCACATCAATTTTAGTTTTTATTATTATTATTATTATTATTACCCTTTTGGTCATTTTACATATTAACCGCTAATCTAAACAACTAATTTTACCAAACGTTTTTTTACAAACCGCTAGTACAATTCGATGGTCAAACCCGCTAATACAATCCGCTATTCGATAACCGCAAACATTTTTTTACAAACCGCTTGTACAATTCGATGGTCAAACCCGCTATTCGATAACCGCTAATACAGTCCGCTACCGCTAACCGCGGATAACCAAACAAGCCCAAAGTGCAACGTTTGCAATTAGCGTTTTGGAAAAAATTAAATTTTTCCCAAAACGCCCCTATTTATATATTATTAAAAAAAAAAATAAAACTGTAAACTTTTATTTGAGGAGCCGTTTTGGCTCCTCAATGTTGCCCATCCCACAACGAATGAATTTGTGGAGCCTTGAGGCTCCTTAAATAGGAGCCTCAAGGCTCCATTCCCACTTTTCCCACCGATGTGGGACGGTGGGAAAAGTGGGAATACAAGAGCCAAGAGGGGAGCAGCTTCTTTCTTTCTTCTTCTTTTTCTCTTTTTTTTTTTTTTTTTTTTTTTTTTTAATTCTTATTATTATTATTAATTATTATAAGGGTATATAGGTCATTTTACATGTTAACCGCTAATCTAAACATCTAATTTTACCAAATACTTTTTTATAAACCGCTAATACAATCTGCTGGTCAAACACGCTAATACAATCTGCTATCTGATAACTGCTAACACAACCCGCTATCGCTAACCACTAACCGTTGATAACCAAACAAGCCCAATATCCTCATACTGGAGTTCGAACATGAGACCTTCCTTATTTAGAGAAAGGAACAATAATATCATCAAATCACAAGATATTTAGTAATAATTTAATTTTAGGATGGGAAATTAATTAATTAATTAATTAATTTATTATTATTATTATTATTATTATTATTATGTAGGACAAGGGAAAAGGCAAGGAAGATTCCAACTCCATACGCCATCTTTCAAGTTCAAAAAATTCAAGTAGTTATTCCAACTCGATACGCCACGTTTCAAGTAGTCATTCCAACTCGATACGTCATGTTTCAAGTAATTATTCCAACTTAATACGCCATATTTCAAATTTAAATTGAAAGACGTAAGTAGTCATTCTAACTCATTATGCCGCATTGACTCGGGTCATTCTAACTCATTACGTCGCAATATTTCAGGTTCAACAGGCTCAAGTCATTCTAACTCATTACGCCGCAATATTCCAAGTTCAACGGGCTCAAGTTATTCTAACTCATTACGCCACAATATTCCAGATTCAATAGACTCCCGTCATTCCAAATCAATAATTCCCGTTCCAAATTTAAGAGACTCAAGTCATTCCAACTCAATAACCAGCCTTTCGGTAAGTTAGACTACCTTCAATTCTAATTAACCATTACACAATATAATTCAGTATATCACAGAAACTAATTAACGCTATGTGATGTAAGGTGAGGACGAAGATTATGATAGATAAAGAAGGTATAGTGAAGTTGGCATATATCGCACAGGCTCACTACAATGCGGCCCCTCAGAAAATCAGGGAGTCTGCAGATAAGTTCTTCTGGAGTATGGTGAAGCAGAGAGGAAAAACCACGGTAGCCATGGAAGATTTCGTGGAATCCATGAAAGAAAAGAGGTACCCAGAATATGCCCACCCGGAGCTTTTCAAAATGCTAGTGAAGGATAGAAATGTGGGGATGAGTATGACGGAATCCAGGACTTTATACTACATTGTTCTGACTGGAAAGCCGTTCTGCAGCTGGTGTAATTGCTTCATCCCTGACCTATATTTCTGCTGCTCTAAATGCTCCGCCCGCTCTTACGCTCTGTGCCTCCATTGTTACTCCACCAAAGCCTATGTTAACCATAGGCACTACAGGGACCATGATGTCTTCTTCTTGGATTACTCTGTACTGCACACCACCATCAAAGATACCTCTGCTGCATCACATCCGGAGGGGAGAGGATCCTCCAAGGCAATTGTGGAAAGGGTAAGCCACACAATTTTTTTTTTTTTTTCTTTTTGGTACTTCTGAAGTATCAGTGATCATAGCTACTTTCTCAACCTACTGAAGCACAAAGAGTCAATATCACCCGCACTGGGGCTCAAACTCGTGACCTTCCATTTGAAGAGCCACCTGCTAGACCACAATTTTACTAATTGCACATATATAGACAATGTTAATCAGACTAGCTTGTTCAAGATGTGGACTTGTAATTTATATGATGGACCAGAGTTTACGTAACATTGTGGACCTTGGATCAAAACAACCTAGGTATAAAATTCATATTTGTAAAGTATAAAATTTCATAACACAGAACATAAAAGATCACAACACAAGACACATACACATGTTATATATATATATATATATATATATATATATATATATATATATATATTAAATTTAATTTGTGGTCATAGACACATAATTTCACAAGACACAAAAATTCATAACAGACACAAGTACTAATTTGTTTCAAGTACATAATTTACAGTGGTACAAAATTTCATAATACAAAAAATAAAAATTCACAACATAAGATACATACACATGCACCAGGGCCCATAGTGCACTGTGAACCCTGGTCAATGGTATAAGGATTGGAGCTTATTAGTTCAGACTATTTTTTGGTTGGGTTTAAAATTCTTGGTCCTAATCCTAATATCTCGGTATGTGGGCTTATCATGCTATTGAGCTAGCCTAGTAAATTTCAAGTTATACTAGTCTATTCGAGCTATCGAACCTATCAGACTTGTTTTTATCCGGCTTAAATTTATTGATCCTAACTCTAAAAATTTTTGATCTGGTTAGTGAGAATTTTTGATCTGATTAGTGAGTGAGCTAGGCTAAAATTTTTTTATCTTTCTTATCAAGTTAGTCCATTAATTTTGGACTAAAATTGACATCCCTAACAACCATAAATCGCGTGCATTGCGTAGCACGAAAGCAGGTTACGTTGTTTGTTTACTTGTTAAAGTTGATGGACACTTAATTGTTTTGGTGTAGAATCGGGGTGATAAACTGGTGGCTGGATGGAATGTATGTAAGACAATACTCAATGCCGGCGGCACGGTTCTATCAATTGCCAGTACTCTTGGTGCTTGCACCATCATGTGATGTATGTAAGTATATATGCCGAGTTGCCTCTTAGCTTATTGAACGTAATTGAAGGCTCACCTATTGGTTTGATACCAAATTCATCAATAATATTTTTCATCTCAACTAAAAATTTAAACTTTTCAAAGTGCAGTCACCAACGTTTCTGTTCAAATGCATTATTACTATCTAGGTTGTTTTGGGTCTTTGACTTGTATGGTGATTATATGTTATATATGATGACTATTTAGTTCAACTATTGTCGATTTAAGGTCCGTTTGGGAAGCAGGAAAATGACTTTTGAAAAATGTTTTTTCGAAAATGAATCATTTTCCGAAAAACATTTTCCTTTCTAGTGTTTGGTTGTATTCTGGAAAACTGTCTTGATGTGTTTGGTTCATTTTATGGAAAATGAGTAAAATTATTTTTAATTTTAAATATTTAGAATAATAATGATTTTATTATTATTATTATTATTATTATAAAACTCCATAAGTAAGGTTGCTACAGTTTGGGCCACAAATTTAAAGATTAATTTCTAGATTTTTATCATGTTCTCTTCCATTGCTGCAGACCCATTCATCCCCAATTTCCGGTGGCTTCCACTACCTTTCATGGCGGCAACCACCAGATTCTTTTTCATTAATTCCAAGGCATTCAATGGTTGGTCGGCTAGGCAATTGGGCACTAAGCACTGTCAGTCAAGAAGGACGAGCTTCTTCAGAAGCTCAACGATGCGAAAAGCAGCGAGGAAGTTTCCGGCTGTGGGTTTTCGTCCCCACAACCGGAAACCATCTCTGGTGGCTGAGATCCGCCAGATCTGCCATCGGAGAGAAAAAATCAAAACTAAAAAAAAAAAAAAAAAAAAAAAAAACATATTTTGGTGGTGGTGAACGGCGACGAAATGATGGCAATAAGATGAAGAAGAAACAACTAGTGTAGCAAGAAAGAAGATGAGAGTGCAGATGAGGTGTGGCAGCGTGGTGTTGGTAGAGAGCAGATGTGAGGGGAAGTCATTTTCCTGAAAAATAGTCTTATTTTCCATTGACCAAGATAACATTTTCCATTGACTTTTGGTTTTCCTTCTTGCCAAACACTAGAAACCTGAAAATGACTTCCAGAAATCATTTTTCGAGTTTCCAAACACACCCTTAATTATTGGTTGAGTTATTAATTAGAAAATTAAAAAAAATTAGATCATAAGTGGTAGTCTTTTTTTTTTTTAGTACTATCAGACAGAATTATATGTTCGGAGATTATTGACCTACTGTTTGAGGATCCTGAGCTCGAATATTTTCATCAACAAACAAACTAGATATATGATCTGAAACCAAAACCGACCTAAAACCGTATAATATAATCACGTATATTTTCGTATATACAGTATCATGAGATATGAACAGATACTATATTATAACAGAGTTAATAGTACTACTAAAAAACACAATTCTGAGTATAATTTAAGAACAATAGTAAAAGAATAAAAACTTAAAAGTGCTATTTTCATAAAAAATTATTAAGAAAAATGTTACATGTACTTCTATTTTGTACTTTCAATTTGTATCCATAAATACAAAATTTAAATATAGATATTTTTGGGATTCACATAAAAATAATAATTTGAATCAGTAAAATTTAAGGAGTAAGATTATGGAGTATACTAAACTCAATTATTAAACTTCAGATACAATTGATGTCATTAGCGAATGTCTAGATTCATTGTATATTTAGCTATCCCCTGCAAATCGGTAATCTTCTCTCCGAGGAATCTATCTATCTATCTCAAGAAAACTCTTTCACCAGCGCCCACTCTCTTCACTCAACACAGTCCCCATGGCTTCCACCGATCGCCGCCTTAAGATCATCGCCGGAGCCGATTCCTTCGGCAGCGACCTCAAGGACACCCTGGTAGCTCAGCTCCGCGCCTTGAACATCAACGTCGAAGACCTAGGCACCGACAAGTACTACTCAGTCGGCGAAGAAATCGGGCGCCGCGTTAGCCAAGCCGCCGCCGACGATCCATCAATTGAGACTCGAGGCCTCGTCGCCTGCGGCACCGGCGTCGGAGTCGCCATCTTCGCCAACAAATTCCCCGGCGTCTACGCCGCCACTTGCCTCACCCCCGGCGAGGCCATCAACGCCCGATCGATCAACAATTGCAACGTCCTCGCCGTGTCCGGCATGAACACTTCCCCCGATGTCGCTTCGCAAATCCTAGATTCCTTCCTGAACACTCCCTTCAAATCTCCCTGCCCCGCCTCCAGCTCCAACCCTTGGCCATCAGATATCGAATCATTCCTCACCGGTTCCCTCCCCGAAATGTCAAAAATCGGAGCCCCGAAAAACCCTAAAAACGCAGAGAACGAAACGACGCCGTGTACGCTATGCTCGCTGGTTAAGAATCGGGAATTTACAGGCGTTGAGATCATGCCGGGCGGGTCAATGAGCATAGTCCGGGAGACGCCGACGTCGGCGTTTGTGAAGTTCAAGGGTGGGAGTGTGGAACCGGCTCATCACCACACGTTTGGGCACGATGTGGTGGTGCTGCAGGGGAGCAAAACAGTGTGGAACTTGAGCAAAGGGGAGAAATACGATTTGGGGGTGGGGGATTACTTGTTCACGCCGGCCGGGGATGTTCACCGGGTAAAGTATTTGGAGGACACAGAGTTCTTCATCAAGTGGGAGGGGCAGTGGGATATATTCCTGGACGAGGATCTTGCCGCAGCCAATGCTGCCATGGATAAGCAGCAGAAGGAGAATTAGCTCTACTGTTATGTGCTGTTTTACTCTCATGAGATCCTTCCTTTATTTTATGCCTCCTATGTATGTTTGTATGTGTGTATTAAACCTTATAGACATCCTTTGTGCTTTGTATAATACCTTCCTTGACTTCTCAATAAAACAACTCCTTTCCTTCTCCTTCTCACATGGCTTATAGTTACTTAACTGCAACCAAATCTCATACCCCAAATGAAGGAAGTAGTAGGATTGACAAATGGATGGTTAAAATTGTTTGGCTGATTGAGTTAGCTGGTTTGACTGGTTGTAGAAACACAACAACCCAATTTCCATATGCATTTCCTCCATTTCCATATGTATTTCCTAATGGCTCTTCTCTAACAATTCGACACGAATCCACAGCAGGTCAGACCAATTTGTTAGAGACATAGAGTAAAGAACAATTGAGAAAGGAACAATGGAGAATTGAATTGAAAGGACTAAAAACAACAAGGATATTGTAAAGAGAAAATTTCAACTTTGGTCATATGACTATAAGGGTTTTGTTAATTTTAGTCCCTGACTTTTGAAAGTGTCAATTTAGTACCTTAATTATATAATTTTTGTCAATTTTGGTCACTCCGGCCAAATTTTGCCAGAAAATTTTAATAGTTAAAATAATGAAGGTATTTTGGTCATTTTACGCCTCTTTCCTTCTTCTCCGGCGAATCCATCTTCTCCGAGTAATTGTTGAGACATGATTTACTGTCAAACCCTAAAATCATAAGAAAACACCAGAGCATCAAAAACAAATTATCACGAATAGAAAGCAGCACAATTCAATTAATTACCAAACCACATGCCAAAACAACTACGCATAGTTGATAAAAATCCGACCTTAAAGCAAATCGAGAGGACTAAGTGGGAAATGGTCGAGCTCCGTTGATCTCGATCACGAAATCGGGAAATTGGACATCACCATAAATAAGAAGGTAATCAAAATTAACGTAGCGAGAAAAGGGAAATTGCAGTTCCTGGCCAACAGATCGCAAAAAGCCTCGGAGTTAGGGTTGGGTTTATCCGTAGTTGAGTCGCCCCTGTTAAGAAATGGGAAGGAAAGTCACAGGTTTGCTGTAGAAATACAAGTCGGTTACGAACATTATACGCAATTGTGAATTGTACCGACTGCCCTCCTTCTTTCGAAAGAAACGATCCCCGGAAATGGAGAAAAGGCGATCGCCGGAAATGGAGAAAAGGGAAGGACTCGCCGGAGAAGAAAAAAGGGGAGTAAAATGCTAAAAATCCTTATTATTTGACCAATTAAAATTTTCCGGCAAAATTTAGCCGGTAATTTAGTCGGAGTGACCAAAATTGACAAAAATTACATAGTCAAGGTACTAAATTGACTTTTTTAAAGTCAAGGACTGAAATTAACAAAGCCCCTATAGTTATATAACCAAAATTGAAATTTTCTCATATTGTAAAATATGTTCTTGCCCAACTATAATTAACTCTTATTTTCTAATTACTATTGCATGTCTCAACAATCACCACTAAGGAAGACTCCTATTTATAATATCATATATTGTGTAGGGAAGTAAATAATATCCTCCCATGATTCCCTATTGGAATTCTATGACTTATGTTCTATTTGTAATATGAAATTTCGTTGCTTGATCGGTTGATTAATTCTCAACTTCATTTGTGTCCTGATTTACTTTCTTTCTCCTTTTGAGTAAAGAATCCACCGGTTTGGTGCTTTATCAGAATCCGTCCTTCATAATCTCTAACCAACACTGCATTTTCTTTCTATTATGTAGCTTTTGATAATGCAGAAGGGTTACTTAATGATACAAGAAGCACCACAATCAATGTCCTTTCATTATAGTGTCAGAATTAATCAGACCTTTGAAAGCCAGGAGTAAAAATCTGACCAATTGCTTCAAGAGCAGAAATGTCCCAACTCTCTACATGCCTCACAATCTGCACATTAAAATTAAACTTTAGTGTTAAAGATACACCAAACCTTATACATGTTTAAGAAAAATGTCAGGATTCAGGAATTCATTGTACATACTCTAAGTTGTCTGTCTAAGTCATAAACTGTGCATCCATTCACTGATATGAGGGGTTTCCATGGAAGCTTGAGATATGTTCTGCAAATTAATCGGGGGTTGGACAACTAAGATTGAGCAACTAATACCATATTTTGCTTGTAAGAATTAACAAAAAATTGACAGATTACAAACTGTCTTCTTTAAATAAAATAAGGGGATAACTTCTTAATTTAAACTGGAATTCTCAATAACTCAACAAGGAAATTAAGGAAAAAACTTTGACATCAGACAATCTTTCCGCATCAAAAATCAAAGTACCAAAGAGAAGCACCTGAGCTTCCAGGTTGCCATTATGAAGTCTGCATTGCTATTGGCATCCTGCATATGAACAACAACGAAAACACTGAAATAAAAAATAATTGGTATAAAATAAGATTGGACCAAAAGACTGAATCCAAGGAACAACCATATAAACTAAGTATAGGCCCTGAGTCCAATCAATTAGCAAGTCTAACCTATGGCCTTATAAACCCATATAGTCTCTTTTATGTTTTCCAATGTGGGACTCTTAACAATTACTAAATAAATAAAAGACTAATCCTTAGCAATATGCCAATATATAGTTATATACCGTGAAGCATGAATAAAGTATTTAAATAAATAAAAAAGTATTTTCCATCTCAGATGAATGTGTCATATGTTACCTTCTCAATCTTCTCTAACTTGATCGAGGGGTTATCAAAAAATGGAACAAGCAATTTCAAGTTGCGTGAGTACAAGTCCCTTCCTGGATGGCAAAGTAAAAGATTAGACAATAGACACCTTATCTTATCTTCATTATTTCAATTTTCAAATTTAGGATTTGACTTTTAGACAAAAATTATAAGGTAAGAAGCTTTACTTCTGTTTTCTTAAGAGGTCATACTAATTACTAAATGTCAGACACTTATAGAACTGTTTGTCTCATATAAAATGGAATGGTAAATCCAAACAATGGTCCAAAATTGACTGAAAATAAGTTAACCCTCACTTTAAAAGCTATTTACGATGCAAAAATCAACCAATGCCCAATAATTTCTCTTACTATCCCATTTATCTAGAAACGAAGGGACCAAGAAAATTATTGTATTGGTTCCATATCCATGAACAAAACCTACATGCGTAATGTGTTCAACCTAATAGTTGGATGTTTCTGACAACCTCAGTGTTGAATGGTACTAAAATTTGCAAATGACATCCCCTCTAAAAGGCCCTAAAAGGAGTTATAATCCAATGTCCAGCCAGTAGGAAGATAGAGAAGTTTCAGTAGAAAATAATAGAAAGCCAATTGGTGGTCTCCTGGAAGGGTAAGAAGATATGATACTAAATTGGAAGAGTATGGGTCATTCAGTACTATACGCAATTAAAAAAAAATACGTTGAATATGATTGAGGTTCAAAACTGCAAAGTTTTACAAAACAATCAACAAAAATAAATTGTGTATAGCATCAATGAAATAGCTAAGAGCAATACTGTTATAACAGCCCATAACCATATGTGTAAATAAGTCTACCACGGAATTTAATAGTTGGATCTTCAAAGGTGCAATCTTCTGCATAAATTGCACTAGTGAAAAGTCCTGAATTCAACAAAAATTCTGATTCAGTCACAGAAGCTTATTTTAAACACCTGTTACAATGTGTAAAGAGCAAATCAACATTTTCTTATCAAATAGTGATGGTAAGATAAAGGAGTTTGTGATTGAGAGGGATTTGATAGTTTGGTAAATGGTAATTAGAAGAATACAAGATATTCATATGGTAGAAAATACGTTCCAATAACAGCCGTTCAACATCTATTGGTGCAGGGGTAAAGTCTGCAAAGTAAGGCATGTGTGCTTGTGCACACACACACACACAGATATATATATATATATATATATATATATATATATATATATATATATATATATATATATATATATATATATATATATAAAATATATACACACACACAGTGAAAAACACACATTCATACATTCCTTATTCTTGTCAGTGGTTCATATGAGAAGACATGTGAAAGTGTGATTTTGGTTCATGGTGAATATGAGTGAATAGTCAGTCATTCATTTATATTCATAGTTCACGTGAGAGCTGTGGTTAGATACTACTGACCTATCCATTTTTACATAATCAATCTTTTCTTCAGCTTGAGAATGCAGGAAAAAAAAAAAAAATTCTTACTCATCCAGCTAACAAGCTATACAATTTAGCTCCTCTGTGCATCATTATTTCACTTTCATGGCAGGTGCAGAAATTACTGCTTAAATGTAAAGCACTACTAACGAATACAGATTGGTACCTGTAACAAAATACTCTCTTTCATAATCATCCTTAATAATCGTTAGAACATCGTCAACATCAGAAACAGAGAGTTCAATATTTCCACCTTCACCATTCAATTCATCCAGCCTGCAAACAGGAAAACTTACAGAGGATATGCTGGTTCTACCAAAGAATCAATTAACTATCCCTTTCATCAGTAACATTATAGTATAGCAGTATCAATACATATCCAATAGGCCAAAACTTGTTTGTGATCGTCTTCCTTATCCGTTAGAGTTCAAGATTAAAACGTAATACTTATACTAAAAAATGTAATACTAATCAAGATGCGTTTGTTAGTCATAAGGAGAGATTTAAAAGTATTACTATTCCTCTACAGATATTACATTTCTATATCGTGACCCGACCCAATCCAGAGTTACAGATCTCAACGAGGACAATTTGGCAACCAATAGAAACTATAAACTATTTTGAGTGAAATGAAGTGTCGTTAACAATCCAACCAACCTGTAAGCGCTGGCAAACTAAAACTAATTTTGAAAATATGAGACGAGAAATTGAAGAACCTGTCTTTGTGAGGGGGAGATAAGAGGCTTAGGAGTTGCGTGGCTCCGGTAACCGCAAGCTTCAACAGCTTTGGTGCCTGGGTTTGTAGCTTCTTCTCAGGCTTCCGCCTATTGATTGAACTGGAAGAGCAGCACTGGATGCCATGCGCCATCTAGTGGAGAAGAATTGGTTGAAAAGAATGTTAGTTAGCTATGGAATGTGAGAATTGCTGATGACCCTTCAATTTGGTTTTACCTTGCTCTGTGATGGCACGGTATAACACCACACAACCGCCATTTTCCTCAACGCGCTGGATATCAAAGTGGCGCCGGCGATTTGGCAAAGTAAAAGTAATTGCAGGTGGATAGAGATATATCTTATTTGATAATCAGTGGTTAATAGATTGTGTTAGACTGTTAGTCACACTGCGAATAGTCTTCAAATTTCTAGACAATCACAATTTCACTCTTGGATTTCAATTTTTTTAACTTTTAATTTGTTACGGAGTATTTGTTTGTTTGTTAGTAGATTGTGTTAGACTGTTAGTCACACTGCGAGTAGTCTTCAAATTTCTAGACAATCACAATTTCATTCTTGGGTTTCAATTTTTTTAACTTTTAATTTGTTACGGAGTACTTTGTTTGTTTGTTAGTAGATTGTGTTAGACTGTTAGTCACACTGCGAGTAGTCTTCAAATTTCTAGACAATCACAATTTCACTCTTGGGTTTCAATTTTTTTAACTTTTAATTTGTTACGGAGTACTTTGTTTGTTTTTTTTTTTAGTTTAATGTGTCACCTATAAGACCAAATAATTTTAGATATTTTTAAAAAATGTTTAAATTGATAATTATACATGTGCGATAAGAAGAACTTATACATGCGCCAATAATATCTTGTCGCTTACCTTTCGGTAGGACAAGTAAGATTTGTCTAAAATCATCACTTAAAACGGCTACTTTTTCCTTAAAGATCATTTCAGAGCTAAAAGACTTGATGACTCTCTATAGATTTCTCATGGTTTGATCAATGTCTCAAAACAATACTTATGCACCATTGGAGCTTCATCGTAAGTGATCAACTTGCATTTCACAACCAATTTTATCAAGTTGATTCCCTTGCTTTTATGTTACGCATTGAGCCTAAGTTGATTCTATTGGGTCAATGACCATAAAACTAGAAAAAAAAAAACATTAAAAATAATGTTGCATACCTTTGTTGACACTTGACAGTGGAGGTGAAGACTAGATTACCAGAAGCAAAGGGAGCATTGGACGGTGGAGGGAGGAGGCGATAGGCGGAGGGTTGAGGCACGGGAGCACCGGAAGCTGTAGCAAACATCAATAGAGGATGAAGGGCGGAGGGCGTTGGCGAGGCTTATTGATTGAAATGGGCAAAAGTTGAAAGGAGTGAAAAAAATAGTCACTTTTTACAACTCGTACATTTTTTAGAAAAAACTGCATTGTAACTTGTGTTTGTGGTATTAAAAAAAAATGCAACTCCGAATGAAATTTCTTAAATTAATAAAATATTTTTTTTTCATGTGAAATACAAGAGTAACTCGTATTTGTGTACGAAAAACACAAGTACGACTTGCATTTTTTGTATTTCACATGAAATTTTTTTTTATTAATTTATGAAACTTCATTGGGACTTGTATTTTTTACCTCAAACGCAAGTCCTGATGGAGTTTTTCTTTAAAATGTACAAATTTTTAAAAGTGCCCTTTTTCATTCCTCTAAACTTTTGCTCATTTCGGTCATTAACCCGCAGAGACGGAGCAATCTAGTCGAATAAATTAGGGATTTAGAATAAAAAATTTAAAATTTTAGATTTATTATTATATACTTAAATATATTACAATATTATTATTATTATTATTATTATTATTATTATTATTATTATTAAAAAAGGGTTTTTGATTTGGTACGAAAAAAAGGTTACTGATCGATACTTTGGTAACTTACCGAACTGTATCAATTCGATTCGAATTGGAAAAACCGAACTCAACCGCATACAAGCCTACAACGTACTACCTGCAATGCAAATCTCAAATTTCAATCCCTAATTTTTCTTATCCCCAATTCCACAACGGCTTCGCCGTTTTTAACTGAACAACTAGGCTTACCGTCCTCATCGATCGCCACCCCATCGCCTCGTCGGTCTCCTAGTCGCTGCATTGTCGCTCACCGCATCACTTAGTTGCCGATTGTCGCCTCGCCAACTCGTCATCAGCTGCAACAGAAACACTATAATGACTTGAACCACTCAGTGACGGTGATATATTTTTTAATTTTTTTTTTTAGTTTTTTTTTTTTTTTTTACTTTCTATAATCACTAGAAACATAAGGTTATCGTCAACCCAACAAATCTTGACACTTGCAAGATGGTGTGGAATATATATTAACATTTATATATCTTTTCATTGCTTAGGTGGATTACAAACTTGCACCAGCTGCAAATTTGCAATACGTAGAAAAGTTGTCGCAGTTTTTATACCTTTTTAAAATTCTTTTTATTTTGTTTTGTTTTCTTTCTTTATTTTATTTATTAATTTCGTTTCTTTATTTTGTGTTCTTTATTTTTTTTAAAAAATTTTTTATTCTTTATTTATTTTGTTTTGTTTCTGTATTCATTTTGTATTGTTTTTATTTTGTAATTAGTTTTTTATTTAAATACTTTTTTTTTATTTTGTATTATAGAATTGAATTATTAATACATAATATTTTTAAGAGATATGGAATCGGTTTGATAGAGACGAAATAATTGATTTCATTTTTATTTTTTTATTTTGTATTACATAATTGAATTATTAATACATAATATTTCAAGAGATATGGAATCACTTTCATAGAGACAAAATAATTGATTAAATATATTTAAATATTTATTCACTTCAATTTGTAATATCTTAAATTTAATCATTTCAATTTATTTGAATTTGTACTTTGTTTAATATTAATGTCTTCGATTTCATACTTTGTTTAATTCTAATGATTACAAATTTACAATTATTTTGATTTTGTAATTTTTTTAATTAAGTTTTAGTTTTACAATTCTAACGTAACATGAATTATTTTATTTTAATATTTTTACATATTATAATTTCTATTTAATTATATACAAAATACAAATAATTCTATAATTAAAAAATAATTATTTTTTCATTTTTGTCATTTTAATATTTTATTATAATTTATATATTGATACAAAATAATAATTGTGGAGATAAATTAAGATTTAATGATAAAAGATAATAATTTTTTTAATGTGATGCGAAGGTGAGACCACTTTTGAAACCGAGACAGTATTGCAAGGATGTATAAAGAATAGTAAATGAATTGCTAATTTAGTGATGTGAAAGTAGGACGCGCTTTTGAAAGTGAGAGAGTATTACAGAGATAACGCTATTATTATCCCTGCAATACTCTCTCACTTTCACATGTGGGTCATATTTCCACATCATCATATTTGCAATTTGTTCACTATTTTATCTACATTCATGTAATTTCAACACACTTTCAAAAGTGGAATCACATTTCATATCACATTAAAAAAAAAAAAAAAAAAAGGCTAAAGTGTCATCTAGCACCATGAACTATATTCAATTATTCATCCCACACCCTGAACTTTCATATTGTATATATCAAGCCACAAACTAAAAAAAAAAAAAAAAAATCATCTAAAACTTTTAACAGGTTTCCCTGTTTTCCTGCTGACATGGCACAGGTTTTCCATTGATGTGGCATTTATTTTAACCTTATGTTGTCCATGTAAGCATTTACATATTTAAAAAAAAAAAAATAGGAAACCAAAATTCTTTATTTCGCCCAACCCTAATTCCCCCAATATCGTAATTCAAACCACGCTCCCCTAAAGACATAGCTTTGAAACGTCGATGACCCAGGCGACGGAAATCCTTGTTAATTAGATTTAGTGGGTATGTTTGTAAGCTGAAAGCGACGGAAGGTTGAAGGTGACCGAAGGCTGCTGTTTTTTTGGAGAAAGAAGGCTGTTGTAAACATGTATGTTTCTATACTCTGACAATGACCCATGCTATAATAAATTAATTTTATATTTTAATGTGTTGATGTACTGCGCTCTTAACATTTGGAATGTGTGTATATCTTTGTGTGAATAATTAATATATATATATATATATATATATATATATATATATATATATATATATATATATATATATATATATATATATATATTGGTTCCTGTGAGGTCATGTCTGTGAGCATATAGCCATTAATATGCAATCCAACTATCAGCTTAGGCTTTTAGTTGAGATAGAGCACATGCTTCAATTTGGTATCAGAGCAAGCCGGTTTACCGGTCCACGTGTTGCTTCCACGTGTTGCTTGGAACCCACCTCACACGTGAGTGGGCGTGTGCAATCCAACTATGCTTCAATTATATATATATATATATATATATATATATATATATATATATATATATATATATATATATATATATATATATATATATATATATATATATATATATAGGGTTGCATTCAAATACAAACCACCTTAAAATACAAACTCCCCTTAAAATACAAACATGAGCTCGTGCACACATTAACATACTTACATGCACACAAGGCGTACTGCCAACAATTTCTGGAATTAGCACGTGCACACATTAACATACTTACATGCACATACACGTAGGAGGAAAAATCACAATCATCCATCAAAGCTCGTGCACACATTAACATACTTACATGCACACAACGCGTAGGGGGAAAAAATCAGGACCGTCCAATACCACCATCCAACGATGTCAAATTGTCCATAGGTTTTTATTTTAAGATGTGTTTTTACCTGAATGTAATTATATATATATATATATATATATATATATATGTATATATATATATATATATATATATATATATATATATATATATATATATATATATATATATATATATATATATACGTTGTTGCGAATAGAATGTTTTCTTCTAAGTTTTATTAGTATTTTTTGAAAGTGTGGTCCTTGCTTTGGATTTTTCAAATTTGTATTGAATATGCATCTTTTTATCAGGATGAATGAATCTGTGGAATTAATAATTCATCATGGGGGTAATTTTGTGCATAACCCTAAGCTACAATATGTGGATGGGGAGACTGATGTATAGTAGTACGTATGGACCCAGATTTCATATGTTATCCTCATTTACAGAAATATATATCTGACCGAAGATATGGGAAAATAGCATCACTTAGTTACAAGTTGATTTCTGAACCCTTTCAAGCTTTAAAATTATTACACAATGATGCTAATAGTCTACACTTAGCTCAGATTGCTCGTCAAAATAAAAAGTGTGAGATTTATGCTGACATGGAGTAGATGAGCCTGAAGTGGTGGGTTTAAGTTTACCGGGGCCTGAAGGGCGTGAAGTTGAAGCTGAGGATGTGGTTGAGTCAGATTTAGGGGGTGAGCATGAGGGTAGTGAAGTTGAGGGAGATGCTGAAATTGGGAGTGAAGACGGGAGTGAAACTGAAAGTGAAAGTGATAATAACAGTGAGCAAGGTACTAAAAGTGCTAGTGATCAAGAGAGGATCAGAACACTACTCCAAATTAGGGTATGGATAAGAGAAAAAGAAGAGCAAGAGTAGATGATGAAACTATACCTCAATATGTGTCACCATCAGATATTCCTTTTGAGGATGCCCAAGATTCTGAGTATTATGATTCAGAAGATCCACTTACAGTTGAAGAAGAAACACAGAATGATGAAGGGAATGAAGTGCAATCTAAGTACAATGATAAGTACCCTAAGTATAATCCTAAATGTGATCCACCCATTGTTGAATTAGGTATGTATTTTGATGATAATGTGCAATTCAAGCTTGCTATGATAAGTTATGTTGTACACACAAAGAGGGATTTATTCTGGAAAAAAAATGGAGTAAAGTATGTTAGGGTAGAATGTCTTGGAAAGGGATGTGCATTTCATGTTAGTGCGGGTTGGGAAGAAAGAACTAAGGGGTCGTTTACTAACTTGGAAAAATGGAGGATTTTCCAGAAAAATGGAGAAATTGAGAAGTGGAAAAATAAAAATTGGAGAAGTTGTTTACTAAAATTTTGCTTCCAAATGCTTACTCCTCCTCCATTTTTCCACTTCATGTACAATTTTGGAGAAAGGAAATTTGGACTTCTCCAAATGAAAGAATGGGAGAAACACGGGTGAATAATCCTATTGCTCAAGTGGTCATGAGTTCGAATCCTGCTGTGTGCGCTTGTTTCAGTTTTGTCTTCACTTCAGTTTTAGCCTTGCGCCATCATCATCATTCTTATTCTTATTTTCTTTATTATTATTATTTTTCTTATTCTACGTCTTATTATTATTATTATTACTATTATTATTATTATTATTATTATTATTATTCGTAGCTACTAAATTATTATTTAATTTAATAAGAGTAAAATTGAGTACTAATTATACCAATTTTGATTGGGATGAGGTATTGAGGTTCAAACCTAAGACCTTTTTAATGAAATCAATGAGTAAGTTAACGGTGAATTAACAAAAATTAACGAAAAAGATAATATTTAATGAAAAAGTTAACAAATAATCGTATTCATTATGGATAAATTAGGAAATCTCAAGGGAAAATTAAAATCTGATCAATCTGAGTCATATATTTGATTAAAATATTTAACCGTCATTTTTTCTACCCATTATAGGCCTAACTCTCTTGGATTCTTATTAGTATAGTAGATTATTATTATTATTCTTATTCTTCTTCTTCTTCTTCTTCTTCTTCTTCTTCTTCTTCTTCTTCTTCTTCTTCTTATTATTATTATTATTATTATTATTATTATTATTATTATTATTATTATTATTATTATTATTATTATTATTATTATTATTATTATTATTATTATTATTATTATCATTATTAGTTTTACCTTTTATTATTATTATTATTATTATTATTATTATTATTATTATTATTATTATTATTATCTTTGTTGTAGAAATGTAAAAATGTTATATGAGATAATTGTATTTAATAAAATCAAAAAATTAGAGAAATGAAGAACTAGAGGAATGTGGGATGAAAATTGGAAAATTGGAGAAATAGAAAACTGGAAGAATGGAGAAGGAAAACTGGAGAAATGGAAAAATGAAAAACTGGAAATGGAAAAACAGAGAAACGAAGTAAACGACCCCTAAGTGTTTTCAAGTGAAATCAATTATGTTGGAGCATAGATGCAACTCTCAATTCACCTTAGGGATTGTTAGTCAGAAATAATTAGAATGGAAATATGAAGAAAAGGTAAGGCAAAATCCTACTATTGGTTATTCAGAGTTGAGTAGGGTCATTAAAGCTGAGTTGAACATCAATATCACAATGAGTATGTGTAGAAGGGCAATAATGAGGATTCTAAAGAAGTTGGATATAGGGTATGAGAGTCAGTTCAAGAGGCTTAGAGACTATGCTCAAGAGTGTCTAAATTCAAATCCAGGTTCTACTGTGAAGATAAAAACTACAACAACTGTCTCTACTTCACCCTTGGTGTTTAAGAGAATTTATGTATGCTTTAATGCCATGAAGAAGGGATTCTTAGCGGGATGTAGAAAGTTTATTGGACTTGATGGATGTTTCTTAAAGGGCAAATTGAAGGGTGAAATCCTCACAGTTGTTGGTAGGGATGGGAATAATCAAATGTACCCAATTGCTTGGGCTGTAGTTGAGATTGAAAATAGCTCTTCATGAAGATGGTTTTTGAAGCTTTTGAAGACAGACTTGGACATTATAGACATCAATGAATGGACTCTAATGAGTGATCAACAAAAGGTAAATAATCCAATTTCATTTTTTCAATATGTTTCTTTGTACTTTCTAAATTTGTTTGTATGTATTTAAATTTAGGTTGCTTTGTTTTGTGGCATATCTTTTGTAGGGATTATCCAATGTTATTCAAGGTCTATTCCCTGGAATTCAACATAGAAACTGTGCTAGTCATGTGCATGCCAATTGGAGTAAGAGCCACCAAGGGAAGGTACTAAAGACTCATTTCTGGCAAATTGCAAAGACCCCAAATGAAGCACAACTTGCTGATAATTTGAAGGGTTTAGAGAAGATAGATGTTGCTGCTCGCGTTGATCTTGAAAAATATCCTATGCAATTTTGGTGCAAGGCTTACTTCAAGGAAGATGTGAAGTGTGACACGGTAGATAACAACTTGAGTGAGGCATTCAATAAAACTTTGTTGAATGCAAGGTCAAAGTTCATAATTCCAATGCTTGAGGATATACGGGTAGCAACAATGAAAAGGGTTGCAAAGAAAAAAGCATGGGCTCAAAATTGGAGAGGGAATTATGGGTCATTGGTTATGAAGAAACTGAATGAAAGCATACTTGGGAGTGCAAGTTGGGAAGTGACATTCAATGGAGCTGAGAGGTATGAGATTAAAAAAGGCAGATTTCAATTCAATGTAAATTTACAATTGATGGCCTGTTCTTGTAGGCTTTGGCAGTTGACTGGTATCCCATGTCGTCATGGCATTTGTGCAATATTTCACAAAGGACATCAGCCGGAAGAGTACATACACAAATGCTATAGTAAGGATCTATACTTGAAGACATATGAGCATGTAATCCAGCCATTGAATGGGGAAATCTTTTGGCCAAGGACTGAAGGTGATGAAATACTTGCTCCTATTCCAAGAAAGATGACTGGTAGGCCAAAGAAGAAAAGAAAGCTTGAAGAAAATGAAAAAAAATAAGCAAAAAAAGATTGAAGATGTTAGAAAGTTGTCTAGAAAAGGAAGAATTATGACATGTCAACTATGCCAGGGAAAGGGACATAACAAACGATTTTGTCCTACATTGTCAAGCCAACAAACAGAATCTACCGGTTCTTCTGCTGTTAGAGGAAGATGAAGATCATCGACCCCTGTGAAGGGGAGAGGGAGAGGGAGAGGAAGTGGAAGAGGGCAGGAAAGCTTTGTTGGAATGTCAGGTAAATAAATTGAACATAATGCATATTTAAATAATTCATGTAGATGGCTGTTAGCAGTTTATGATTAATTAACAATGCTTTCTTCTTTTCTGTAGCTTGCACACAGGGACCATGAAGGCAGATGAAGATTGATGGAGTCACTTCTTTTTTCTCTATTTTTTTTTTGTTTTGTTTTGTTTTGTTTTTGTTGTTAACTAGCTGGTGTTTATAGCTATTGTGTATGTACGATTTTGACTTTTAACTAGCTAGTGGATTATGAATTGGGAGTTTATTTTGTTTTATTTTGGCAATGTATATTGGTTTTTTTTTTTTTTTTTGACAGTTTATATTAGTAACTTGATTTTATTTTTAATTTCACTAGCAATTGTGCAGTATATATTCAAAGTGCTGGTAGATATATTTATGTGGGAAATACTGAACAAAAAAATTAGCATTTCTATACATTAGGAAAACATGAAAAATACTAAACAAAAAATTAGCCAAAAAATATAAATTTTGGGAAAAAAAATTTGAAACATTGGAATTGAAAAATTGAAAAAGTATAAATTATGAAAATAAAGAGAAGAAAATTATGGTTTTTTAATATAATAATTTTGGTTTTTTAAATTTTAAATATGTAAATGCTTACATGGACAACATAAGGTTAAGAGAAATGCCACATCAGGCGCCATGTCAGCAAGAAGATAGGGAAACCTGCTAAAAGTTCTAGGTGAAAAAAAAAATAGTTTGTGGCTTGATATATATGATATGAAAGTTCAGGGTGCAGGATGAATAATCAAATATAGTTCATGGTGCTAGATGACACTTTAGCCAAAAAAATACTATATTTCATTAATAATAATAATGTTATTTAAATCATTAAAACTATTTAAAAAATAAAACAAAAAAGTAACAAGAACTCTCTCTCATATTTAATGCATTGTACTTTGGCTACAATTTTCAAGACTTTCAATAATTGCTAATTTAGCAAGGATTGCAAGTCACATCATATTTTGAAAGAAGTAAAATTTTAGGGATGAGGATAACCTAAGAGCATCCGCATCAGTTGGGGAGATTTGGGAGATAATGTAAGAGTGATTAGGAAAGAGAAAGTTGGAGGGGAGAGAGAAAAAAGAAAAAACAAAACAAAAATAAAATTAAAATTGATAGTGTAAATTTCACGTATTGCGGTCAAAGAAGTCAACACGGTCAAGTGAAAGCAAGTAAAGTCTTTATTGATCGAGTAAAGGACCTAATACAATCTAAAATGGCTATTCTGAGGGCCGACTGACTGCGGTCGGGCTGCTCTGTAAATAGCCTATCGATCGTTCCAAAAGTCCCTCACACTGTTGTCGTCGCGGGTATTTATAGTCGCTAGGCCGGAGACACAATTCCGGCCGGTCGGCATGTAACCCACGTAGCAACCACGTGTCTCCACCCCGCGAGCCTTGCCTGTCAGCACGTAACGTTGCCACGTGCTTCTTCTCAGCTCTCTCATCCAAGGGCCATCGATCGGGAGATGCACCGGTCGGGTCCGACCGGGTTCCTTCAAGAATATCCGACCTGTAAACATGCATAAACAACAATAAAATACGTGGCATGTCGATCGGGGTATTCCCTACCAAAAATATATATATAAAAAAAAAACTGATGAAATCAGACGCGTGCAGTGCACGCGCCCGGCCTTCCTCTTGGACTGCGCGATACGCCCAGTCTGTGCGTTGCTCTTTTTTTTTTTTTGTTTCTTTTTTTTTTCTTCCATTCTCCCACCCTTTGCAGGAGAATTATTTTTGCATTCTTTCTTCTCCACATTGATTATTATCATCAACATGAGAGAATTCAACTTACATTATCCCCATATTATGCATTGATGTGGTTGCTCTAAGAGCATTGACATCACTGATGGGTTTTTCCCTATTTTTTTGTGGGTCCCAACATCCACATCATCATTCACTATCTCACTTAATCACAAAAATCATTTTCCCCATTAGTTTTAGATTTTTTCTCAATTTTTTTATGGACTCACCATTTTACTCCATTATACTTTAATTAATTAATTAATCATTATAAAAATTATAGTTACAATTAATTTTTTTTATTATATTTAAATTAAACATGTCAAAATTAAAATAAATTTATAATTTTAAATTTTAAATTCTAATAATATGGTATCAAAATTATATACCACATTTATATTGCATAATTTTTTGTTCTAACTTTAAACATTTAACAACAAAATTAAACAAGAAAAATTATATATATATATATATATATATATATATATATATATATATATATATATATATATATATATATATATATATATAAACTATAAAAAAAAAAAGTAACAACAAAATTTTTAAAAATACTTTTACAAATAAATAAATTAAACCAAAAAAAATAAATAAAACCAAAACAATCAGAGTGACAGCTAGCTGGCAGCCACTCTAAAACGTCCTAGTGAGCGCGTGTGATTGTGTGGCCGTGGGCTCAAGTGCGCAATTTCTTTTCTTTTTTTCTCTGACAATTTATCTTTTTTGTACTTGTAGGAGAAATAACTAAACAAAATTTTCTCCTCCCATCAGCAAAAAAACATATATGGTCAGTTTGTATAACATGAAAAAATCAAAAAAAAGATGCATAGATATGATTGCTCTAAGGTCTTTCAATATAAATTTTTAATGTAATTTTTGAGAAATGAAAACTTATGGAAGGTAGGAAGATGAGAGAGAAGCTTTTAGGTCTCCCTACAACACGTTGAATTTTCGTGAGCCCTAAATAGCCAAGTTAGGTGCTCGTACATACACTACAGAAGAAGAAAAAGTAAATCTACGTAGCGGTTCAAGTCCACCCGACTAATTCTCATTTCCTCTGGGAGACACCGGAACTAACCCTTATAGCCTGTTTGGTTCGCTGGAAAATATTTGATGGGAAATGGAATTCAAATTCCATGGAAAACAAATTATCAGACAAATAGATTCTATTGTTTGGTTGGTGGAAAAGAAATTACTAGGAATATGAATTTTATTGTTTGGTTGAGTTTGGAATGGTAAGGAATTATGAATATAAAGACCAATATGCCCTTAACAATAATATATACATGTGTAATTAATAAACTTTGATGAGGGTAAAATAGTTCAACATTGTTATATTTTTTCCCCAAATCCTTTGGAAAACAAAATACCACTGTCTTGCTAGGATTTTGTTTTCCTTCAACTTTAGGAACTCAAATTCCAATGGAAAAAATTTTCCATCCAACCAAACAACATAAAACAAATTTTCCTACACTTTTAGAAAAACATTTTCAATGAAATTTGACTTCCATCCAACCAAACACCCCCTTATAAAAATTAATTTCACATTATCCCGAAATTCTCCATACAAAGAGACCTAAAGAGAGCTCGTTTACTTCTTGAAATACCATTTGGATTATACTCTGCCAATCTTTGACAGTTCTACTCTAATCCTACTCTTCTCCTACAGCATAGCCGTATCCATGGATGAATTGGAAGTATACGAGCATCTTTACGAACCGGGTATGGGTAGACGCGGTCAGTATTTTATTCCTACCGAATCCGAATTGATTAACGGATTTCTGAAGAAAAAGATCGAACGTCGCCCTCTTCCCAACGAGATCATCAAAGAGATTCCATTTTTGTACGAGTATCCTCCTGAACTTCTCCCAATTGGTAAGTTCTCCTCTGATCAATTTTTTTATAAATGCTATTCTATTGTGATTTTGATTTTTTTCCCCTAGTTGTGTTGCTATTCCCCTGTAATTTTTCCTAATTTAAGTTCTTTACTTCTTTTCATCTGTCTTGTGCTCCTTTTTTTGGCTAATCTTTATATCACTTCGATCATAATCCGATTTCATCTGTTGGCGTTAGTTGGATGGATTTACTATTGGGTGGATCTGAATTTTGTTTGATTGCTGTTGCATTTTTAGCAGCCGAGTTAGTGTTGTCACCGAGTGAAAACTTGTTTCAATATTAGTAGTGTACTTTTTCTTTGTGTGGTTCACTCTGCTTTGAATAGTATTTGCTTGTTTAGTATTTCTGGATTGTGTGCAGGTAAGTTCAAGTATGCTAGGAACAATGAGGCATACTATTTTACCCACAAAGGTAAAAAACCTCCAAATGGCGAGTTTCTTGGAGGAAAGAAGTTTGATGGTGAATGGAAAACTGAAGGTCTAGAAGAGGCATGTTTTGGTCAGAACCAAATTCTGGGGTTCAAAAGAAAGCTATACTTGTACCGCTGTGAGAAGAGGACAGGTTGGGTGATAAAGGAGTACAGATACAATCCAAAGCGAGTTCCTGACCATTATCTTCAGAATAGCGTCTTTCATGACTTTGTGAGTGTTATTTGCTTGGCAGTTTTCTTAACAGATGCTTATCTTCTTACATAGCTAACTGCTTCGCTTTCGATGTTCGGATGTAATTGTCACAGTTATTAAATTACGTGGTCTTGAAAATTAAGTTCAATCCAGACTTGAGGGAGAATTTCACTGCAGAAGAATCATTTTCAATTTCAATGGAAGATGCAAAAGACTTGGATGTCTTCCAGGACTTTGAAGGTTAAGCAAGAGATTGTCTACCACCACCCAATGAAGCCTATATGAAGCAGCCTAATGAACATAGTTTTTCATCGAACAGAGAACATACTTTTTCTTCATCCTTTGAGGTTCAAACATAAATTTTGACTGTTATGCATACTTTTGATTGCCCCATTTGTTTGAACTTTTGGTTTCCTATGTTTGAAACTGCTTCCTGGCTCTTCATGGATTCTGTATGGTTTCTCTAGATCAGATGGACTGAATTTTGCATTGATGTGAATGTTTGATTGTTGATGCTTTAGTTTGAGTAAGCATTCTTGTCATGCCCCAACCCTGAATCATGACCCAATCCTAATAATTATGCCAAATCTGAACTTATTTCAATTGGAGAAATTAGGGGAGTTGGGCATCAACCTTAATGTTGTCAAGGAGTAATATTATTATGCCAAATCTGAACTTATTTCAATTGGAGAAACTAGGGGAGTTGAGCATCAACCTTAATGTTGTCAAGGAGTAATAGGGTAAAGCTGTAGCTATAGGAGTATCTCAAAATTGTTGAGATGTGTGGATTTGTGGTTTATTGTTGAGATGTGTGGTTTTCAGTAGTGTAGGTGTAGCATTAGCCTAATTGTAGAACTAACTTTTGGCATCATGTTTACCATCGTTAGAGGCTTAGAAGAGTCGAAGTGAAAAGTAAATATATTCCTTAGAAGAGTCGAATGTAATATATTGAATAAGGGGCATAGAAGAGTTGAAAAGTTGGAATATGAAATATGGGTAAGTTGGGAAAAGTTATTGAGTATATATGGAATATATTGAATAAGGGGCTTAGAAGAGTAGTTTTTTTTTTTTTTTTTTTTTTTTTTTTTTTTTTTTTTTTTTTAAATAAACGATACATTTATTTCATCAAAACACAAATGTCTACAAGCATACGCCATAGCCCCAAAAGTGGGCTATGGCTCAAAAAAGTCTAGTGGCCATTCGACCATATAACTATACAAGGGTGGCCCGAAAGTGGCCACCCCAAAGGAGAATATAAAGAGCCCCAGCTCATCTACTATAACTTGTTAGGCCACAAGGCTTACAAACAAAGGGATCATCCAAGTGGGTTCTAGTCTCAATGACCCATTCCTCTCCAAACACCCTCAAACCAAGTTTCAAATGGGCTCCCCGTCCCACACAAGTGATGGGAATGATGCCTGAGCTTTTAGATCCACTCTACCCCCCATCCTTAAGCCAAGGACCCATCCCCACCGGCACGGCGTACCGTGTTTGAGTTCGGGAGGACTTCCTAGGTCCCGACTTAAGCGATGGCACTCCCCTCCTCCACCCTCATGCCCAAGACCAACCCCCATCGGCATAGCGTACTATGTTTTGCCCGTGGAAGCTTTTGAGGTCCTGACATGAGCAATGGCTCCCTCCCCTACCACCCTTAGGCCAAAGGTCAACTCCCACGGCACGGCGAACCGTGTTTTAAGCCCGAGGAGCCTTTATGACCTCGACCTAAGCAATGGTTTTCCCAAAACACACCACCCCCATAACCTCTTCTTTTCTTTCTTCTTTTCTTCATCTTCTTTCTCTTATTATCACTTTTTATTCTCCTTATTTCCCCCTCCTCCACCAATTCATTTTCCATGAGTATTCTATTCTTCTTTCATTTTCCCTCATTTCGAAGCCCTAAGGATCATAGCAAGCTCAAGGCACTCCCAACTCCAGGTGTATGCTATACTTGGAGCCCACCAAGACCCCCCTTCCTAGCACATGCCAGAATGGGACATCAAAGCTAGAGTCTACAAGAGAATCCCTTTGATGGCAAGCCTTATAGTCTACCAAGCCTAGCAAGAGCTGAGAACACCTCTCATACTATCTCCACCCTTATCAATCTTCATCATACAGCTTCTCCTACATGCAATAAAAGACATGGTTTCATTTCTACCTTTCTGTAGATCCACCAAACAAGAAGCTGCACAGCAGGTCAGCTCAGATGAGCCTCCTCCCTGCTGCCAGTACCAAACCAAGCTGTCTACCCTCAGCAGTTGTCCAGCAAACAACTCATCATTGGGTTGTGGAACAGATTGCATCTTAGCAATTGTTCCACCAAACACAAGAGCAGAATTGGCCTCCACTACTTCTAGCTTCATGGGCCAATTCATCCCAGCCTACAACCCCTCAAGACTGCCAGGCCAAGCAGTTCCATCAGAAGAGTTGAAAAGTTGGAATATGGAATATGGGTAAGTTGGGAGTTATTTAAAAGTGAGGGTGGAATAAGGGGCTTAGAAGAGGCGAAGTGAAAAGTTGGAATATGGGTAAGTTGGATTTATTTAAGGGGCCGTTTGGTTCACGGAATGTTAGATTACCTTAGGGAATGTAAGATTACCTTAGGGAATGTTAGATTGCTAGGAATGTTAGATTACTGGGAATGTTAGATTCCCGTGTTTGGTTAAAATTGAGGTATGTAATATTATCATGTTTGGTTTAGGGTTATCTTTATATATATATATATATATATATATATATATATATATATATATATATATATATATCTAATATCCTTAACATATTTTCATATATTTTAATAAATTTAATCATTAAATTAAATAAATAAGATAACGGTATCATATTAATAATAATAATAAGCTAACATAAAATATATATCTTTAAATAATTAGAATTAAAATGACAAAATTCATAAATATGCAAGGTTATCTTACATTACCTAACAAAATGAAGGGAATCACATTCCCTTCAAAATCCTATGTGGAGGGAATGTTACATTCCCTGGGAATGTTATATTCCCTCAGAGAAAATGAACCAAACATAGGAATGTAAGCTCGGGAATGTCACATTCCCTTGGTTATATAATATAACCTGAACCAAACGCCCCCTAAAAGTGAGTGTGGAAAGAAGAAGTTGGAGTTATTTAAAACTTAAATGAGTGTGCAGTAGGGATCCCTAGATGCATATGGTTAATGTCATTAGAGAGCTATTCGATAGAGATTATAGTTGGCATTTTATATATATATATATATATATATATATATATATATATATATATATAAACTAATATTTGTGCAAATTCATTACTTCTCTGTTACTAATTCATTACTTCTCTATTACTGATGGAGTTAATAGATTTGGAGTCTCTTCTCTTACATTTGTTTGTCTTAATCTCATAATCTTCCTTTCCTATCAAATTATTTATATAGTGAACAAATAGATTTGGAGTCTCTTCTCTTACATTTGTTTGTCTTAATCTCATAACCTTCCTTTCCTATCAAATTATTTATATAGTGAACACATAGATTTGGAGTCTCTTCTCTTACATTTGTTTGTCTTAATCTCATAATCTTCCTTTCCTATCAAATTATTTATATAGTGAACAAATAGATTTGGAGTCTCTTCTCTTACATTTGTTTGTCTTAATCTCATAACCTTCCTTTCCTATCAAATTATTTATATAGTGAACAAATAGATTTGGAGTCTCTTCTCTTACATTTGTTTGTCTTAATCTCATAACCTTCCTTTCCTATCAAATTATTTATATAGTGAACAAATTTTCTAAGCATATGCATTGGCCATGACATAATGCTTGTGCAGTTAAGCGTTTTCATACTTATTTTGTGATTTAATTTGCACTCTCATCGAGGTGTTATTTTGTGATTTAATTTGCACTCTCATCGAGGTGTTCCAGGTCTTTCTCCGTCCATTTCATGACCCAAAGAAAATTGTCACTTGTGGGAATCGAACCTGAGTTATTTGTCACTTATGGGAATCAAACCTGAGTTATCTCGGAGATCGTCCCCAAAAAAAAACTCATTTGCCCCTTGAGCTATCCCTTTGGGTTTCTAAGAAATCCTTTATGTTATACAATTTAAATTTCTTTAAAAAGGGATTGTGTATATATTAGTGGAAACTCACTCATTTTTAATATGAGGCAACAATTTCTTCCAAGCTTTCACATCTCCATTTTCAAACTCAAATGGGTATATTTTGAGACTCAATTTTCTCATTGATCAATTATCCATTTTGAGAGTACAAAATATTAATTTTTTCGTCGCATTTAAGAAAATTAGAATTCACTTTGACTTGACACAAATAAAAAATGAACCTCATATATATTTATACTGATCACTTGCAATGCCATTTAGGCTAAAAATTTCTAACAAATTCATCCATTGGTGCACTTAAGGAAGGCAGCCACCTCAAGTCCAAATGTGGATGTTGCTAGGTGGATTGATAAACATTATTTTTATTGTTATTTTAAATAATATTTTTATAGTTAATTTGTAGTAATTAATTAATGAGGAAATTTCAATTTTGGTCATATGACTATAGGGGTCTTGTTAATTTCAGCCACTGACTTTTAAAAGTGTCAATTTAGTACCTTAATTATGCAATTTTTGTCAATTTTGGTCACTCCGGCCAAATTTCACCGGAAAAGTTTAATAGTTAAAATAATAAGGGTATTTTGGTCATTTCAAGCCTCTTTTCTTCTTCTCCGGCGAGTCCATCCCTTTCTCTCCCGTTTCCAGCGTTCTTTCTCCCTATAAACCCTATCTTTAATATCATCAAGCCTCCTTTTCGCATCAACTTTCGCTAGAAACGGGAGATGAAGGGATGGACTCGCCTGAAAAGAAGAAAAGAGACGTGAAATGACCAGAATACCCTCATTATTTTAACATTTAAAATTTTCTGGCGAAATTTGGCCGGCAATTTGACCGGAGTGACCAAAATTGACAAAAATTACATAGTTAAGGTACTAAATTGACACTTTTAAAAGTCAGGGACAGAAATTAACAAGACCCCTATACTTATATGATCAAAATTGAAATTTCCTCTTAATTAATTTATATATATATATTTTTATTTATTATTTTGATTAAGTAACTTTGTTAATATTATTCAATTTTAGATTGTCTTTATTAAATTTGTCTATTATTTGAATTCTGTCAGTCCAATAATTCCTTATCATAATATATATTAATTTTAGTAGTACTTGATCACTAGGAGTTTAATAAATGTAGATTAGTTATATATGGTCTCTAATAAGATTATTATTATTATTATTATTATTATTATTATTATTATTATTATTATTATTATTATTATTTTCACCCGTGCGATGCACGAAATGGAATTATTGTAATATATTAAGAATATTTAAATCGATATATAATTATTTAAGAGTTAATTTCACCAGAGGTCGCTTATTTTTCTTGACAATTCCAA